ATATATATATAAATTGAATTTGGGGAAACTTTAACGGTGCTGCTAACTTTGGAAAAAGTCATCCCAATTTACTGTGTTGAGTTGGCATTGTACAGAAATGAACAGCCATATTGGTCTAGAAATGTTAATGTATTTTTATTTTTATTTTTATTTTGTTTCCATGTGTACAGGAGTAATGCACTGTATTGAATATCTGAGGTCATATCTACATGGGTTTGATTACAGAAACTAATAAAGTATTCTCTAAATAATGAAAAAAAGAATAAGATAAAACTATAAGAGCAAGAACCAATTTAAATATGTTCGGGGACCATTTTCATCCCCAGAATTAAGGATTATTTTAATGTTACATCATTGCCTTTACTCTTTTACTTTCCTTTTTAGTTTTATTTTAGGATTCCCTATTTTTAATGTTCATACAGAGATTTCTTTAACTGAAATACCGAATAGTTTCTTTGGTGTGAAAAACTATAATAGTACACAGGATCCTAATGAGATAATTAATAATGTGAAGTAGGAAGTAAAGGGCTAAAGGTGTAGGGAAAGTGGGAAGGGTGGGGGAAAGGTAATAAGGGAGAGGAAAGAAATATGAGAAACTGAAAAAAATGGAAACAAAGTGTTTGTAAATGGGGAGGGGAGGAGGGGAGAAAATGAGAATCAAGACCTATTAAAGGTACAGAATCCCAATGATGAATGTAACTGTACTGTATACCTAGATTGTACCAATAAACTCAATTAAAAAAATTAGATTTGTACTAAAGGCTTATGATATATTCCACATAAAAAGATAGTACAGAATTTTTTCCCTTCCTCCCCTCCCGTCCATTCTTTTTTATTTCCTTCTGGAGTAGTCCTTCTTTTTCCTTTTCTGTTCTTTGCTTTTAAAATTTCACAAAGATGTATAATGCTTTGTCAATTCTACAAAGTTGAGAGGAAAGCAGCCTTCAGAGAGCTGTTACTGTATTCAGGGAGGGATACAATGCCTTCCGAAATAGTTTGAAAATAAGCTCAAAGCCAGGCACGGTACCATGTAATCCCAGCACTCGGGTGTATGAGGCAGGATGATAGCAAATTTGGTGCTGGCCTTGGCAACATAGTAAATTCAAGGCTGGCTTGGACTACACAATGAATTTAAAGAAACAAGGAGAAGAGAAGAAACTCAAATGGCCCCAACTGATGAAGTACAGAAAAGTGTGAAGAGTATGGGAAATGGAAGAGATTCCATGCCGGCAGAAGTCAGGAGAGGCCATTTAGGTGACACGGCTAGAGGGGCGAGGGGTGTCCTCGTGAGGGACAATAGACACAGACTCCGCAGAACCTGGATGCACGATGAATAAAGTGGGAAAGAGCGAGGTGGAGGCAAAGAAACACGCAGCCTTTGGATTATGTTTACTGGTGCGCCACAGTCAGGAAAACTTGAACAAATGCACTTCTCCTCTCAGGGCAGCCTCTCTTCTTGCTCCAGGCCACTTGTGAAATTGGACATTGATCCCTAAAGAAGACCCACCCTTTAAGTCAACGTTGAGGGGTTGATATTTTGCTTGCAATTCTCTACGTGCATGCATGAATACATGAAGGCTGGGGTGATGGGGGTAGGTGATTTTGAGGCAAGTTGTTTCACTGCATGGGACAGATCTCTTCTTCCTAAGTTCTTTCTTTCTCCCACACTCCCCTTACTTGCAATCTCCAGCTCCTTTCCCTTCCTACCCACCACCTACCTTTCCATTCTCTTACTCACAGAAATGTATCTCACGCCATCTTCAACCGTGACTTAGAAGTGTCTTCAAGCGTCTGAACTGCTGAAGATGACTTCATACATACTCAGCAAACAAAATATCTTCAGCTCATAGATCCACTCACTCTGCAGAGTGGAAGATGAATTTTAAGTAGTTGGTTTTTATTTCTGTAACACACCAAAATGTTGTCAACCGTGGCATCCAAAGCATTGCTGGTTAAAGAGATTTTGAATATCATTTTGTGACTTCAGCAAATAATCCCAAGTACTTAGAAATAGAGAAGGCAATGCAAATGTTCCTGAAGACTGGCTAGTGGTTGGCAGCGATCTGAGTTTTCTCATCTGGGCCCATATTTCTCATTTTGTACATTTCCATCTGTGGAAACTGAACATTACCTTCGGTTGCTTGGTGTTAGTCCCAATCACATTGCTGTGCAGGGCTTCACAGAGGCCATTCCATGCCTATCGATGAGGAAGTAGTTACAGTGTAAAGAAGCTAGAAAGTGAGGTGTCCCTTTCATACTTGGCTGAATCCTGAAGAAAAATCTTCATAAAATCAACCATGGAAGTGTATTACGTTGTACTTCTTTTCCCCTTCAGAGCCAATTTTGTTACTCCTTTCTACTGAATGGTTAACAATCTAAGCCTTTTTAAAAATACCAACTGTGTGGATTATTTTATATTTAGAACTTCTCTTTTCTGCTTTGCTCTTTTTCTTTCTATTATTAGATAGAAATATAACTCCTGATCATATCATTTTTTAAAAATATAGTTCAACACAACCAGAACTAATCCTCAAAGGACACCTATTATTCTGAGTTCTATTATTCTTGGATTCCTAGGAAAACCTATTTTAAGCCTGGTGTAACTTTAAGCCCTCATTGATTCTTTGGGGACCTCACTAATCCAACCCTTTTGGTAGGTAGACTCTATTTCTTAATTTATTATTCTTTATGTTTAGCATTGAGAGGGAACTGAGATATGTTCAATTTAAAGAAAATTAGAATCTTTTAGTTAGAGACAGATTTTTCACTTCTTTTTCAGTACTGGGTATTGAAACTAGGGTCTTCACACTGAATTTAAAAACAAATTTTTTTTTGAGACAGGGTCTCACCAAGTCGTTAGATTGCCATGCTCCTGCCAGACTCCCAGAGTCCTGGGATTACAGGACTACACCACCATGCCCAGACATGTTTTTATTTTTATTTTGTTTTGTTTTTTGAGCCAGGGTCTCACTATGTAGCTCGGGCTGGTCTTGGACTCACGATGTATCCCAGCTGTCCTTGAATTCATAGTGATCCCATTACCTCAGCCTCCCAAGTGCCAGTGCTACAGGTGTGAGCCATCACACCCAGCTACATTTTGATTTTTAAATGCGAAGTTTGTTGTGATGAGTTAGCCATTTTAAAACGATATTCTAGCTATAATAAATATTTGCATTCTAGGTGTTTGTAACAAAACCTGAATATTTCCTTTCAAATTGAATAAAGTTCCCAGAGTCTCCCCTCAATAATGAGTTCTGCTCCAACCTTAATAAAACTGCAGTTGTATCTACTCTCTTTTCCTGGAGCATTGTAATCATAATTCTATCATTGTACTCATCCAATTGTAGTACAATTGTTTGTGTAAGTGAATACCTGTAAACTTGCTTTTACTGAATGGGTTTTGGTGATAAGCCATCAGTCCCTACTGAGATATGCTGTAAAAAAAAAAAAAGCTTGCTTCATAGCACTTGTTATAAGGATATTCTTGAGGGCATTCTTCAGTATATCACACAAGATCACCTTTGGAGGACGCTTGAGAGTCTTTGTTTAACTTCTTTTTCAGCAATAGGTATTGTAACCAGCCCCCCCTTTTTTCTAAGGGTGACAGAAGAATGAAGCTGACAGGACAGCAGCGGGGAACAGAATTGGGTGCAATTTATTAGAAAGAACAAAAGAAAAGCTCCCACTAGTTGAAGGGGGTTCCAAAAGGAGGACATTACAGAGGGGTTCAAATCTTTTTTTTTTTTTTTTTGCAGTCTTTAGCAGACAGATATGTAAAAATGTAGTTGCTGTTGATGCTAGGGTTTTGATGTCCAGAAAGCAGATTTTAGTATTTCTTCATCCTTCGTACTCCAGTTTTCTCAAGGCTTGTCTCTCTTTAATTTTAGTTTACTTAGGCCCTTGCCCTAATCTGCCTTTTGTCCATCTAGTTCTTGGTATCAGTACATTTTGCCTGAGCAACTGGTCTGCTTTTATCTGGTAGAGACTGGATTATGTAACCAATGATATTTCTTCCTTTATAGAGACTCCTAAAAAAATCTAGAACCAAATTCTTGGTGAACCCTTAACAAATACTCAGGTTTTCATTGCATTTATTTTGTGAATTAGCGTGCCTCCATTGTGCAATCCCATCATTGCTTTCTCCTCATTTGCTTCTGATGGACTTTATTTTCTGATGTGGTTCTCTTTATTCCTTTCTGTGGATCTTTTTGAAGAAAAGTATGAGAATAATGACATAGTTGCACCTTTCAGGATTGGGAACTCCTTGAAAATGGACTGGTATTCTTTTTTTTTTTATCAGTTTGCTCTTGGATCTGACACAGATTTCATTATAAACTCAACAAACATTTTTAAAAATTCACTAAGTAAATTTTGCCATTATAAAATAGCAATCATCTAGTAATTTTACTAATGCTTGTGTTCTCTTCTGTAGTGGAACAAAAGGGAGACTGAATTCAACTGTCACCTAAAACAAGAATGCAAAAGATGTTCCTTATGTGCATAGGTGAGCTAAGTACAAAGTTTCTTCTTTTTAAACCTATGAGTGGTGTGATCATGACACTCTCATGGCTTACAAACCAAGGAAAATGAACTGTGCTTGTTATTCATCTGTCAGAAAGTTTTGTATATAGTTGGTACCAGACAAATATATGTAGAATTAAGCCTACTTATCAGATACTAGGTTGGGAAATAGAGTCATGTGGAAAGTTTGATAGAAAGACCTAGCATTTTTTTCTCTCCATCTGAAACCTAAACTGTCTCAGGAAACCACTGAACTCAAGATTGTTAACTTAACCCAGAGTTACTAAAAAAAAAAAAATCTAGCTCATTGGGCAATGTTTTTTTTAATGCACAAATCTCCTATTTCATCTAGAACTCTTTTTTATTAAGTTGTGGGGACTAAACTCAGGGTATTTGCACTTAGCTTCCTACCTTCTTAAAAATTTTTAAAATACGTATTTTTTTTTTACTTTTAATCAGTTAAAATTTATTTTTTTCATTATGCTTATTGGTACATTTTAAGGATACAATAAGTCACATTCATCATTGGAAATTTGCACCTTTACATGATGTTCTTATTTTTTGTCCATTCCCCTGCACGCCCTTCAACTCCTCCACCCCTTCCTATTTACAGTCTTTGTTTCCATTTTTCCTTTTCTCATATTTTTTCCTTTCCCTTCTTTCCTTTTCCTTTCCCCTCCCATTTCCCCTTCCCCTTTTAGACCTTTTCTTCCTATTTCACATAATCAATTGTACATTTTGATCCTTATTTACACTTTTAGTTTCTCACACCAGAGAAACTATTTGGTATTTACATGTGTGTCCTATTTATTTCACTTAAGAGTATGGCCTCAATGTTCATCCATTTAGCTATAAATGTCTCTAGTTTCTCATTCTTTTTTCCCATTAAGTTTATTGCTACATTTTAAGCAAACAATACAGTTACGTTTATAATTGGGATCTTGTACCTTCACATAATATATCTTGTCTCTTGTTTTTTTTCCCATACCCCTGCCCTCCCTTCACCCCCTTAACCCTTCCCTATTTACAGAGACTTTGTTTCCATTTTTTCACATTTTTCCTTTTCCCTTATTTCCTTTCCCCTCCTCTTCCCACTTCCCTTTTAGCTATTTTCTTTCTATTTCACCCTCTCAATTATACCAATTTATTTACACTAATTTTACACTTCTGCACTCAGTAGAGTAGCTGGATACAAAGTCAACACTCGAAAATCAATAGCCTTCTTGTACACAAATAACAGACTTCCTGAGAGAGAAATTAGGGAAACAGTTCCTTTCACAATAACATCTGCAAAAATGAAATATCTAGGAATCAATCTAACAAAGGAAGCAAAAGACCTCTACACTGAAAATACAGCACTCTGAAAAAAAGACAGAAGAGGATATAAGAAGATGGATAGGAAGAATCAACATAGTGAAAATGGCCATACTTCCCAAACTTCTACACAGATTCAATGCAATCCCTATTGAAATTCCAACAGTATATTTCAAGGAACTAGAGAAAATAATACAAAAATTCATTTGGAGCCAGAAGAGATCTAGAATAGCAAAAACCATTCTAGGCAACAGAGACATGGCAGGGGGCATCACAATTACCAACTTGAAACTATACCACAAAGCCACTGTGATTAAAACAGCATGGTACTGGCAAGAAAACAGATCTAAGGATTAATGGAATAGATTAGAAGATGAAGAAACACCAGACATACTCAGCTACCTTATCCTTGAAAAGGAGCCAACCATCTTTGGAGGGAAGATAACCTCTTTAATAAATAGTGCTGGAAAAATTGTCTCTCAATTTACCAAAGATTTAAACTAGATCCCTATCTTTTTTTTTTTTTTTTTAAGACAGGATCTCACTATGTAGTTGAGACTGACCTGGAACTCACTATTTAGCCCAGGCTGGTCTCGAACTCACAGCAATCCTCCTGCCTCAGCCTCCCAAGTGCTGGGATTACAGGAGTGCGCCACTACACCCAGCCTAGATCCCTATCTTTCACCATGCACTAAACTAAAATCCAAGTGTATTAAAGATCTAAATATCAAGCCGGGCCTGGTGGCTCATGCCTATAATCCCAGCAGGAGGATTGCTGTGAGTTCGAGAGCAGCCTAGGCTACACAGTGAGTTCCAGGTCAGTGTCAACTACATAGTGAGACCCTGTCTCAATAAACCAAAATAAATAAATAAATAAATAAAAACCCCAAACCAAAACTAAATATCAAAACAGAAACACTAAACTTACTGGAAAGTAAATTAAGTAGAACTCTCAAAGGCATTGGCATAAGAAAAGACTTTATGAACAAATCCTCAGCAGCACAAGAACTTACACAAATAATCAGTAACTGGGATCTCATTGTATTGAAAAGTGTTTGCAGTGCAAGAGAAATCACCAACAGAGCAAAGAAACAACATACAATGTGGGAAAAAATTTTTACCAGCTACTCCTCAGACAAAGGACTGCTATCTAGAACATATAAATAATTCAAAAAAATCAGAGCCCCCAAATACAAAGACCAATTCAAAAATGGACATCTGAAATGAACAGGCATTTCTCACACAAAGAAGTAAAAGTAACAAATAAATATATGAGAAAATGTTCAGCATCACTGGTCATTTGAGAGATACAGATGAAAACAGCACTGAGATTCCACCTTACCCCAGAAAGAATGGCTGCTGTCAAGAAATCAGCCAATAAAAAATGCTGGTGGGGCTGTAGAGAGAAAGGAACCCTTTTCCATTGTTAGTGGGAGTACAGACGGGTGCAACCACTGTGGAAATCAATATGGCGATATCTCAAAGAACTAGGATTAGAGGCTCCATTTGACCCAGCTGTCCTTCTGCCGGGTATCTTTTTAAAAGACTCATACCACAGTGATATATGTGCACTCATGTTTGTAGCGGCACAGCTTGTAATAGCTAAAACTTGGAAACAACCCAAATACCCATCAGTTGGAGACTGGATAAAGAAGATGTGATTTTTCTATAAAATGGAATACTACTCAGCCATAAAGAATAAGACACTAGAAACATTTATAGCTAAATGGATGAACATTGAGGCTATACTAAAGTGAAATAAACATGACACACTTGAGTAAAAAGTGAATAGTTTCTCTGGTGTGAAAAACTAAAAGTGTAAATAAGGTTCAAAAAAATGAAAATACTGAAATAAGTTCTCATTAAATCACTTAGTTGCCCATGTTGGGCTTGAACTTGTGACCCTCCTGCCTCAGCTTTTTTGTGTGCCACCATGCCTAGCAGAACTTTCAAGTCTTGATGTAGGTAGGTTAACGAAGTACTGTACTATGAAAAAACACTACCTATTCTTTAAAAGCCAAAAAACAAATGTAGCAAATGTTGGGATCTTTATTATCCTCACGAGCTTCGCTAGGATACAAAATGCTAGTAATTTATTTGTGGATATTGAAATTTATTGTATTAAACTAAACAGAGTAAGATTATGGAATGGCCTTTTCTTTAAGATCAAAGTTTTTAGTGTTAATTTTGTCCATGATTTCTTCTTTCTAAATGTTTCATATTTATGCTTTCATCTTGGATCCTCTTTCAAAATTCTAATCCCAAATTCTCATGATCTCATACAGTAATGATACAGATTTTTAGCTGGTTTTCCTGTTATCACTTTTTAAAATGAAATCAGTCATGAATATTACTGTCAGTCTATCTTCCAAAAATTATAGTTGAATGAATTGATTTCAAACTCAAGCAGTTTTTGTCGTAATCTCCTTCTTCCTGGCTCCCAGTTTTGTACACCAGAGTGCGCTCTGTTGCATTCATGGCATCCTGCATAGGTGCCTGAATTCTACTGTCCCTTTAAGGTACCAGTATTTGCATGCAACAGGAAGTAGGGTGTGGTCTGTTCTGGGATGAGACTGAAGTTCTGTGCTGAAAACAATTTATTCTTGACCTAGAACTAGTACTGCTTTTAGAAAACAAAACAAAACAAAAACCCCAGAATGTTGTTTATAGTTAAAAAAGAAATTCAAATAGCATTTACAGTTAAAAAGAAGAAATTGAGGTCAAGTGTGGTGGGGCTTGCCTGTAATCCCAGTGTTTTAGGAGTTGAGGCAGAAGGATTGAAAATTCAAGTGCAGTCTAGGCAATTTATCAAGGCCCTATGTCAAAATAATAAAATTTAAAAAGGCCTGGGGATTGAAGCCCTGGGTTCAATTACTGTTAACCATCCTACCCCCACTCCATAGGCACACAAAATAAAATTTAAAAAAAGAAACTGACAGTGCATATAAACTTTAAATGCTCCTGGAGTATTTGTTGAGAGAGCACAACGTGCTAGGTACTACAAAAACTTTATCTACCTGAACCCTGAAGAAGATACCATAAGTATACCCATTTCACAAATATCTTGCCAAAAATCACATAGCTACTAAGCCAAGGCTGAAACCAACCAAGGAAGTCTATCCTCATGCACAGACTCCTAATCACAAAACTAATAATTCTTGATGGAATCTAAAGCTTGGGCCCAGCGTGAAACCCCAGAAGTAGCAGCTCTAATAAATAATATTGAGTTTATGTGCTAAATTGGAATCCTTCTATCAAGAAGGAAACTTTTTTTCTACTGTAGTTTGATCTCAAACATGATAAATGCAGCACTCTTACAACTTTTACTTCCACTTTTGACAGTATAAATATTGTTCAGTTGTTCCATTTCAGAGAAAACCCTTAAGTTAGTGAGGGTCATGTTTTATCTGAAACCAGACCATTCATCTCAACACTACAAATTTGAGAGCTTGTAGGATTAGTTTGCAGTAGAATCCATCCTGAGATCTTATAAATAAACCCAACTTGATGATTTTAATGGTGAAAAGGTAGCCAAGTTCAGAAAGATTGCAGATTGTCTCAGCATTCAAAAGAGAAACATGCAATAGAAATACCACCACAATATACAAGCAGAGAACTCTGACCAGGTGGTCAACAGAATATGAGAAATGACCATGCCTAGATTTCAGA